GATGAATGTTGTGATCAATATTGTTAATAATTTTGTGGTTATCACTTCCATTGCTCAATAATTTTGATGCCAAATTCTCAGCAGTTCCCCAAGCAGTAAATACCACTTAACTTCCTTGAACATCTTGGTATCTTGTTTTCAGAAATCTCTCAAAAGCTCCTCTGTGTCAACCTGGATAATTTCTGTTCAGCCTGGGGCAGGGGCACACACCTGCAGTCCCAGCTACTTGGGAGACAGAGGCAGGAGGTTGCCTTGAGCCCAGGAGTCCCGGGCCAGCCTGGGCAACCTAGAAGACCCCGTATCCACAAAACAAAATGAAGGAGGAAAAGAGCCCTAGTCACCAATCCTCTACTCAAACTTCACCTCTTGCTCTCCTCCTTTCCCTCTTTGTCAGGCGTGTCCCAGTATTTTCATAACCAGGCTTGTATCAGCACCAGGACTGAAACTAGAACTTTCATTCATTAGTCACAAGGTTTCATCACTCAGTAGATTTAAGATCTGCAAAGCAGGAGCATATTCTTTCATGGAGATCTTTTGTATTTCTAATTTGTTTCAGTGTCTTATGACATTTATCTTATGACATTTATCAGTGACTTGGTATGGCAAAACATCAGATGCATGATACTTATCAGATAGTAAAATGTTACTTGATATCTATTAAAATTATATTGTCTTCAAGTCTCATTACATTTCCATGTCTCTGAAGATGGACAGAAACACTAACGTTCTCTTACTGTATATTTGATATGTATATTATCAATGTTATTAGTCTATTAATATTTTGGTTACATTATGTACAGTATAACCTATAATGGACTATTTATAATTTCAACATATGGTATATATTACACAGATATAAATATTATCTTGTTCATTAAATTAATGTTATTATCTATTCTACTTTCAACAGGACCAGTGTATCCTTGATATGCCACAGACTGCATACTTAAATTAACTGAGTCTTATGTAAATTCTTATTTAATCATTTTCAATGATGCTAGGACTTTAGAATATTTTATCTTTCCTTTCTTTCCATAATTATTTTAAACATTTGTTGGGTTATATTCTAAAGATAGTATTTCTTTTGTTATTCTTCAGTTTTAAATGATTTATATTAAGATTGAATAGTTAAAACTTTCATACAAAGGAAAGTAAATAAATTGATAATAAAACTTAAAGTTTAAAGTCTTGAAAACTTTTTTGAAATTACATTTGATGTTAATTATACTGACAAATATCATCGTCACTTTACAATTTAGTAAGCAGATGTATATTTTACATTTTTAGAGAACACCTAAGCACTTAAACACATAACTCGCATCCCAGAAAATTCAGTTATAATTTTTAAATAGCAACAACAGAAACAAAGGTGTGAACATTACAATAAAATTGGAATAAAATAGAGTATGCTTTATTTCCCAGACTGTAGAACACACTTCCTCATCTCATTGCAGTTTGTAAAATATCAAGTACTCAGGACAGCTAAACAGTACTTTATGTTACTTTCAGCAATATTATAGTGCTCCAGATTTTCTCTCCAGAGTTGTTTCCAATATTTTTAAAGATCAGTAGAGCAATTTTACAATTTCGTAGTCATAATCAGTTATCCCCGTCCTTGCATGTGAGTGCTCTCATGATCAGGCAGGTCTTAAAGCACTCATCAGGATGCTCTCTGATCTCTATGCCTGCCTGCTCTCATTTTCTGCCAATGGATGAAAATAGGTATCTTATTGCAAAGATACTTCACTTTTATACTGTATAACGTAACTCAAAGTTTATGGAATTGTTGAAAACAGTGATCAGAAGCAGTTACTGTTCTGGCATATTGTTCTTTAAAACGCTGTTCATCCTTTGGGTTTTCTCCTGAAGGTTTTGGGGGTCTTACTGCTCCAGTAAAGGCTACAGGCTGTTAAGTTCTTAGACTAAGTTGCTCAATCATAAACATAGGTGTAGATATACTGGTGTGAATAACCAAGATAATCATAAAATTACTTGAGCTGCTATTTAATAAATGAACTGAGAATTATATTCAAATGTAAGGCATTTTTAAATATTCCTTAGGTCCTTCTTTACTTACTACCTGAAGGAAGCATACCAAAATGATAGAATTCACAAATTCATTCACCTGTTTTTCTTTCACTGTAGATTAAATTCGCAATTGATAACTCCTTGAACTTCTATCATTTTCAGACACGTACAGATTTTATTCTGTAGTTGGAGCTGTGTTAATCAAAGACACAGGTATTAGATGGGTTCATGTATGATGTATTACACTCTGTATGTTCATACTTACATTTGTGCACAGAATACTACAACTCATTAGGCTATTTGCTGAAAGTTTTGTGGATTTACTATACCAATCAGGCATTGTTCCAAACACAGGGATTATAGCAGTGAAAAGAACTGGCTTGAGGTTGAATAATATTTTCCTAAGTCATGTGCAAAGTTAGGAATATCGATGTTTTACCAAGATTACAGATGGGCCTCTATAAGGAGAAGTCTCCTGATTATCTTATGTTGATGGTGTTAAGGTCGATGTCAGTGGGCATGGTCAAAAATATTAAAAATATTTTAAGACAGAAAAGGAAACTCCTTCAAGGCTACAGAAGGTTTCCATGTGATTAAAGCTCTAGTTTCTAAATCCTACTAGACAATGGGCTGTATGGAAACAGTCACAGTAAAAACCTCTCTGAAGAAGGCTCACTGCAGAGGTTTGAGAAGACACTGCAACATCAGGGGTGTTTTTCTTGGAACTGTCACTGTGGAACCGGGCCCTGGGCAATGAAGACAAATGCCCTGGAAGTGAGTGGTCCCTGCAGAGATGGGATCGAGCGTCAGTTTCTTTCTGCATCGGTGATCACTCTGCGCTGGGAGTTACAAGGTAACATTTAAATATTTATATAAAGAGGTTTTAAAATGGCTCTTTAAATTGCATAAGCTATTGACATATTGAGATCGCTTCCTTATAGTTCTTTCAAATTCTCTGGTCTGCTGTTCACAAATGTGTTATTCAAATCTTATTTTCACTGGCTTTAATATTCTGCTTTGACCTATGATATGAATAAGAGTTAAATAAAGAATCAAAGGAGTCCTGAGTTCCCAGCTAGGAAAAAAAAATCAAATACTTTATCACGAGGCAAATCTCCACCAGGTAGTAAACAGCTATTATCAAAAGAATTAAACTGGAAATGTGAACAAAATGCCTATGAAAATACATGTCACTAACCCTGAGGGAATGGATCAAGCCTATTTATCACACAATTAGTGAGAAAAGCTGATGTTTATCCTCAAGGTACTGAGAACACTGTAATATACAACATACATGGGAAGATTTCTCTGAGCCTTAAAAATCAGCTATTTTTTTAACACTGAATCAATAATATAATACTGGAATGCTCTACAGATCTTATTTCCACAGTTTTCCCAATATTTTGAATATAAATAGAACCATTTGACAGTCTAGTAATCACATGTGTTTATTAATTCTTCAAATCTTTGGCATATGTGCCCAAATAAAATGGTGTGTGTGTGTGGGGGGAGATGTACTCATTGGACAAATCATTATTGATCTATTCCTTCCTTATTCAGCCTACAACTAGTCAAAGCACATGAGTTATTTCCAAACAACCTAAAAAAGTGAAGAAATAGACAAAATGTTAGCAATGAAATGTCAGAAGGCATTGAGTTCCAATGATGCCATGAGTCTTCTTGGACCCTCTTTGGGGGCCAGTTTTATCCTGGGGGTGTGTCCCAGAGCAGAGGTAGGATTGAGAAGCCTTGAAGTGGCATGTATGCTTCCCTGGATTCCGATTAGCTCTGATTTCTTGCTTCCAGTGAGACACATCTTCCTCGTTTTCACCTCCTATAGACACCATCTGCTTTCTGCACTGCTTTGATCCATGCTAATCACTGTCTCTCTTGCATTCTCCAAAACTAATGCTAACACAAGGCCCCAGGAAAAAGCGAATGTTTCCTGCAGGCTGAGTTAATAGAGATTGTTTTACAGTACCAGCCAGTAAAGAAACTTCAAACAGAAAGCCACGTTGCTGGTGGGAATGCGGCATGGTACAGCCACTTTGCAGTCAATTTGGCAGTTTCTTACAAAACTAAACATACTCTCTCCATATGATATAGCAATTGCACTTTTTAGTGTTTACCCAAATGAATTGAAAACTTATGTCCACACAAAAAGCTGCACATGGATGTTTATAGCAGTTTTATTCATAACTGCCCAAACTTGGAGAGAACTAGGAAGTCCTTCATTAGGTGACTGTGCAAATAAAATGTGGTACATCTAGGCAGCAGAAAAATATTCAATGCCAACAAGAAATAACCTATCGGACCTTGAAGAGATATGGTGGAAGCTCTGGTGCGTGTTACCAAGCACAAGAAGTTCATCCAATATATAACCTTGTGGGACAGGTGGAACTTAGAGACAATAAAAAGAACACTGACATCCAGTGGTTTGCAGAGACAGATCGAGAGATGAGCAAGCTCAACCAAGAACAAACTACTCTGCACAACACTGTATTTACTGAGCTGTGTCATGATAGCTTTGCCAGAACCCAGAGAGTCCACAGTGCCAAGAGTGAATCCTGATGCCGACTGTGGATCTGAGGGAGGAAGTGTCCACGGAGACACTTTGTTTGTTTTTAACTTTAGCCCTGCAGAGGTGCAGAGTGCAGGCTTCCTGGTTCTGTAGGTTGTCTTTTCCATGCATGGCTCTTTCCGTTGCTGTGCTGAAGCTTTCTGGTTCTGGACCCGCAAGTTCACTGGACACTGCTCACAATAGGCAGGCTGGGACATCACATCTCAAACAGGAACAGAAAATGTGGCATGTATACACCATGGAATGGTGTTTTGCTAAAATGGAAGGAACAGCCCTGTCCCATATAGCCCATGACGAGCCTGGAGGTAACCGTGATAAGTTAAATGATCCAGAAACAGAAGGACACACTGCACAGTCTCTCTTATGTGTGGAATCTAAAAAAGTCAAATTTACAGAATCAGTGGGCAGAGTGCTGGGTCCCAGGGGACAGGAAGACTTTGGTCAAATGGTATCTGCAAACAACTGCAGTGAGACGGTTGGAATAAATGCTGGAGATGTATTATTACAGTGCACTATGACTACCATTCTTGAAAACATAGTGTAGATTTGAAAATTGCCAAGACAGTGGATCACACATGTTCTTGTTACCCCAAAATTATAAATACATGAAGTCAGGGACATGCTCATTAGTTGGATTCAATTTTTCCACAATTCACTCATATTGATATCACACTACACCTCATGAACATACAGTTTTTTTGCCAATTATAAATGAAGAAAGAAATAAAAATAAAAATAATGTATGCTCTTCCCCATAAGCAGCTTGTCTTTTCTTCAAAATAACATTTTTTCCTCTAAGCGCCTCAGCAACTATGTAGACCTTCACTAGGCTTTGTTAGTAACTTACCTTCCACACCTGCTGTCTGTAAGTAAATCTATAAGCAAGAACTCAATTTTTTTTTTGTTAGATTCCAAACTTTTCATGCTTTGTACCACAGAATGATGCCAATGCACTCTACCACATGGGGTCTACATGCATTTTCTTATGGATCTTAAGATTCACCTTTTTTTTCCTTTGTGATAAAACATATGTGTTTGAGTTTTAGGTTATTATTACATGAAATTTAAAAGAACATGACTTAAAACATATTAAAAGAATTCCACCTGTATTTCCAAGCTAGCATGACATGCATGTAAATGCGATGATGCTCAGGTTTGGCTCAGGTTTTGTGACCAGCATGGTGGGAAGGATGTTTCCACTACGGGACCTCAGCACACGCATGCGGCCAGCTCTCCAGATCCCTGGGACCATTTCTCCATTTCTGAAACATCTCTTCCTACGTGCTGGAGGTGAAGGCTCACAATGCGAAAGCCACCTCCTCTTTCCGTTGCAAGTGAGGTGGAGCCGGTTTAACTAGGAACAACTGTGCACAATAGTCAGGGAGTTACTCAGAATACCCTCTGGGAATGCCCGGTATTTATTTTAGCATGTGGTATTTTGGTTAATACGAGGCTGCCACATTCTTCTCACTTGGTATGTTTTGACCTTTCAGCCAGTGCCACGGTGGCTTGGGCTCTGTAATGGCACGGAACTGTCCTGGTCCCACCTGAAGGGCTGTGATTAGCATTGTTTGTGTGGAACATTGCCACCCACACCCTGGACCCCATGCCTTCCTCACCCACAGAGATAAATGGTGCCTGCAGAGTAAATCACAGCCTGGTCCCTTCCTTCTCCCTCCAGTACCCGTCAGTTGGAAAATGCACACATTCATGCACACATAAGATATATTTTTAAGATCCTTGTATTTTCCATTTTAGGGACCAAATCTAAATTTCAGTCAGCCAAGAGACATTCATGAACACATTATCTTCAAACAACCCTATATTTGGTTAAAGCAATGAAAGAACATAAAGATGTGAGCCACTCATGTTTACTTGGCAATTATGGTTGATATGCTTTTCAGTAGCTTTAGAGGATTACTGAAAGATGAATTGCTGAAAACAGGGCACACCTACACTTTCTTAAAATTCTTACATGCCCTTACATGCTAACCACTACTTTCAGCGTGCAAAGTAGATTTTCATTTAAACAAACACATCATATGCATGAAACAAACCAATGAAATCATCTTGAGAAACTATCAACATATTCTGTGGCTGGTTTTATATACTAAACATCAAGTCTTACATACAGTTATAATTCATTCTTTTCATTCCTTCACCATTCTGTCCATTTATTATCCAATTTATCTTGACCTCCAAAGCCTTCACAAATCAATCCCTGGATTCCTACCCCTTGCCTCCTCCAGGGCCAAGCCACCATCTCTACTGAGCAGGTGCAATGCTGTATGATGGCTTCCTCAGGGACCACTTTTGATCTCTGTGCTGTCCATAAAGCAGTGAGTACTTTTAGACTCTGCACCTGCTTTCTTACTCTTTCTCTTAAAACCCCCAATAGCTGCCATCACCAGGTGACCTCAACTGGGCCCCATCCCCTGGCTGCAGCGGGTGGCCCCAGGTCCTCGTCCCTACTTGCTCCCTGCCCTCCCCAGGCTCTTGCCTCTCTTCCAGGCACAGCGGCTCCTCCTGGGCTGGAGACGCTGTCACCACTGGTATCGCCAGGTCTTCTCCTCCTGTCACTGTGTTCTTTTTGACATTTATATTAAAATGTCAACTCTCCAAAGCACCTGTCTCTACCACCCATTTTCAAGACCTCACCC